AGTCATACATTTTTGAAATAGCTAAGAAAGTCTGCTCTAGCATATGATAATACACATGGAATAAGATGCACAAAGCAAAAAGAAAGAGCCGAAATGTACATGAAGCCATCATGCATTTTTGAAATAGCTAGGTACTTTTGCTTTAGTATATGATAATACACACGATAATACGAATGTAAAACAAAACGCGATGAACAAATAGCCATCACAAAAATGGACATTTTGTTAGAGGGGCTCTTTCTTATTTTGGCTCTTTTGCATTTTATGTACATAGCATGTGCACACGAAATACCAGCTTGAATTAAGATGAAGAACTATTACCAAACCGATGAATTTTCAGAAGGTCACTTTTACCTAAGAGTTATGTAGTATACGTTGTTTTTTAATACAAAGTTTTCAACACGGAAACATAGAATTGTTTCTCACACGTTGACCTTGGCCAAGTGCTACTCTTGACCTCCAGAATCTTTAAGAGCCCTCGGGATCAGCTGAGGTCGCCGTAATCGTCTTGGGTTCTACACTCAACCTTAAGACGATACCAGCTTGCTTGTGATCGGTACTTAAGGAAAGTATACAGACGCGAAGGAGCGCGGATAAAGTTCTGAGAATGGCGGTCGAGAGCATAAACACGTCACGCGACAAGTGGGATGCATAAGGACATCTTGTTTCCAGAACCATGCTTTATCCAGAACCATGCTCATGCACGGTTCTGGATAGTCTACGTGTATCCAGAACCGTGCTTTATCCAGAACCATGCTCATGCACGGCCCTGGATAGTAAACGTATATCCAGAACCGTGCTGTGTCCAGAATCATGCTAAGGCAAGCTAAGGTTCTTGATGCTTCAGGCGGCATCCAGAACCGTGCCTGGGGCAAATCTACGTTCTTGGATACACGGAGACTTTCCAGAACCATGCCTCATTCTAACCCTAACCCATTCAGGCATAGAACTAGCTAGCCGCTGATGTGTTACGCCAAACAGCAATACTGTTACAGATACAGAAAAAGTATGATTTAAAAGCCAATAGACATTTTCCTACACTTATACGTTCTTTAAAAAATCAGAACGGTGTACAGGGGCATTTAAGGTCTTATCCTCAAATGACTCTAACTCCTTTTCTTCTCTAATGAGGTTGAAATAAAACCTTTCATTTCACAGTCCCCACACCTGAAACAGCAAATCTAATATATCAACCTTTCCCACGGGAACATTTTGTGGATCAAAACTCCTGCCAAGCAAAAGTGCAGAAAATTTCAATAGATCTGTTGGTGGGCTGTTTTTCCGGTTAGGATATGGGCCGCTGCCAGGAGTGGGGGAACTAAAACTTAGTAAGGCACGTACGGATCCGCGGAACAAGGAAAGAGCTTAGAACTACCGGAAGGTCTTAAGAAACACGCCCTACTTCAAGTAGTACTCGAGATACATAAAACGGCCTTGACAGTTCAAGGATTTCATAGCTCTGTTTTTATTCCTGTCTTGAAGAGAGAACTTTAAATGATTCAGAGAGTGACGTGTGTAAGTTTTTAGACTTCCGTTAAAACATACCTGACCGTTCAAGGGTGTGTTTTTATTCAAGTCTTGAAGAGTGAACTTTGAATTGAGCAGATCTAGAGAGCTTCGTGTGTTAAGTTCTGCGGATTTTTTTAATAAGAAGGAACACTGGTTGCAAATGAAAAGACAGTTAGCTGCAGACAGTTGAGGTGTGGTATCACGGTGAATTTCTAAAAAGAATAAAGAAATGTAGTGTTGAGATCTAGACCTTAAAACAATGTTAGATGTCCCTTTTAGTCAATTGAAAAAGTGAATGCACAACGTTGACATTACTCTTGATTGTAACGTTAAAACGGAGAAATAAGTTAAGAATTCTTGATTTATAAGTAGTATATCCTTAGTATATGACAATATGTCAGAGAGAATCTTAAGTTGCTGTATAAAGGACAGTGTCCTCCAGTGACCCCTGGAACGTTTCCAGAAGCCGTAGTGTGTTGCGATGACAACACTTTGCTACAGTCAGAGGTTGCCGCCGGTCGCTACACTGTGGCAAACGTACGTGACGTTATCGCCGTTTGGTGGGTGGTCGGCTGGCGCCCCACGAAGATAACCGAGGTTAACCGAAGGGTGCCGAGCGCCAGGCGAGAAATGCCGAGCGGAAATGCCTGCGGGTTAGGCGAGTAAAGAGAGGGCAGAGGTCACGTAAAGAGATAAATTGAGGACAAATCGGAGCATTTCCTGTCCTGATCCCATTCAGCTAAACGGGTAGAGATTTTCTAGCTTTTTTAACGTGTTTACGATTGTGCTGCCAATGTACGTGCATCCACACACACCATACTATTGAATTGACTTAAAAAGTAAAGAGAGAAATTACAAGAAGGGAGAGAATGAGAGAGGGAAGAGCGTCAGAAGGAGTGAAAGACTAAGAGATAATAAGGTGTGACTCTCTCTCTCTCTCTCTCTCTCTCTGTGTGTGTGTGTGTGTGTGTGTGTGTGTGTGTGTGTGTGTGTGTGTTTGAGAGCCGAGAGAGAGAGAGAAAGGAGAGAGAGAGACAGAGAGAGATGTATTGCTTTGAAGTTTTGAAGAAATCTTCGTTCAAGTATACATCACGGTATTCCAAGTTGCACCCAGCTCTGAATATCTCTGGCTTCTTGTTTCAGGAGTTTAATACGCAAGAGAACTTTCTGCAGATACAAAGTTAGGTAAAGGCGGCATGTAGCGAGTCACAAGTATTAGCATATTTGTGACACGCTACATGCCGCCTTATATATAACCCAAAGTTAGGTGCCACATTAGTTGTAGTATCGTGGTGGATTTCTCGGAAGTCGCCTGGTCCAAGTCCCTAATTTGTCAGACTAAACCTTGTGATCACCTGTATATGTTCCTGACGACGAAGGCCACACCGGACATTAAACAGAACTAAATAAATTAGCGGGATTACAGTAACCATGGCGAGATATTCGGTCCAATTTCTGTCCGTTTATTCAATTCCAGTTCTCGGTATTAAGCTGGTGAACCCGATTAAGCACCTCAAGCTATTTAAAGTTAACAAAGAGACTGGTGTTGTCTACTGAATCTGTAATTTGTAAAACGGGTACATTGGTTAATGTCATTTTAAACGGTCGATACAGAATCACTGAAAGCTTGGCAGACTCGACAAATTGGGCTTTTTTAGAATGACCCGCCAGTTCTCTGAACTCCGTTAGTTATACGCCGACAGTAACAGCCGCGTTACAAGTAATTTTCCCAATTCAGAGCAACCGTTTTTTGGTAGTATTATACATCGATGTCAAGTTTCATAAATGCTCGTTAGATGAAAGCTCCTTGCTTTGAGCATACATTTGTTTTGTTAAAGATCTTATGGTCTTTTTTGAGGTCGTGGGGGCAGTGGGTTGTCAATCTACTGTGTCAAGGCCACGGTATCGTCTCCTTCAATCACCTTTTTATTACATATTCAATAAACGAGATAAAATTTCACACCTGAAAATAATGGGGAAAGTTGTGTTTGATATGAAGAAAGGATTTTTCCAAGGACACACACTGTGAGATACAACTATCTGACAAATGCAAAGAATCTAAACCGTGACCGCTAGCCCCGGGGCACTCGGTCATTCAACGCCAGGAATGGTTAACTGTAACAGTTGTCCGTTCTATGAGGACGAAGAAAACAGAAACCCAGAATCGGACCGGATTATCCACTTAATGATGTCGTTACAAACTATGCCGATAATCTGCCGATGACACGTACCAGAAACTACCACCCCACATTCGGCGAAGCCCCCTTGATGTTTGCTACACAGACGGGCATTCTTAGAACCTGCGTTCTTTTTTTTTCATTCGCCACAAATATTTGTAGCAGTTTGCCTGGAAATCTAAAATATCTCTTTTGTAAGCCGACGTGTGAATTGTTTGTTATGTTAAAGTGACCTGTAAAGCACAGCAGCAATATCAGTAAACCCAAAATTAAGATGTCTCGAAATTTGTAGCTCAATAGAACTGGGAGAGAACTGGGAAGAAAGGGCTTTCACGTTAATCTTGAAGGTATACAGTCTTTTAGTGCGACTCAGACGAATCAAATTAAACTTTATCAAGCATGACAACCATGTATGTGTCTTATCACACACTGTGTCTGATAGTAGTGTTACGTGAGAAGTACATTACCACCACGCTCAACTTGACGAAGAGCGGTTATAGCACTGCTTTGCTCATTAGATAAAGGAACAGATTGTAGGTGAAATAGTTTTAAACACGATGATTCAGAGTGGAAACTGAGAGTCTTTTCCCTTTGTGATTTTTTCCTAGAACTTGGGACGTTCTCTCGACTTGATATCGACTACGCAGTAACCACAGGGAAGCTTTATGTGAGTAACAGAATTATTAGATAACTAGATAAAGGTAAGATAAGAGAACAGATTGTATGTGAATAGTTTAAAACATGATTCAGAGAGGAAACTGATAATCTTTTTCGATCCTTTATAAATTTTTCCTAGAACTTTGGACGTTCTCTCGACTACGAAGTAACCACCCGGGAGGAAATATGTGACGTGAGTAACAGAAATGCAAAGGAAAACTTTTCCTTCCTTTTCCTAAACAAGATAAATAGATGTGGAAGTAATATACGTCATAAAAGGGAAACGAAGTTTATACCCCCTTTGCCCGCGACCTCACCCACGCACTTTTAACTTTCTTCCTTTCCCCAAAAGTTTGATCTAGACTTTTGATCAATCTCCAAGCTCGTATGTTTTGGAGGAAAAATAGGTGACTCATTCACATTCTGTATCGGTATAGCCGGTTTCGCAGGCACGCGGCGCGGAGGCAGCTAGCTATAGTACACTGATTGTACGACCTGAACATTACACCCAATCCATGCAATTCTGTAATTTCTTTTCTGAAATCAAATGTTTTATTAATAGTTATGGTTTGAGCATTTTTGTGTGAATTTGAAATGGCTGAAACATTTCTTGGTGTTCAGATTCAGCTTTTTCTCTGTTTTATTTCTGTCAAAAAGTGAAACATCCAAATGTTTGGATGCCACGCCTCCCCTGCTACTAGAATGGACAGTCCCACACAGTCACGTGAACAAACATGGCGGTCACGAGTCCGAAAATATGTTTTTTCGGCGCTGTTTTATGACGTTTTGTGGAATATTCTCTCCCTACGTTACCGCACACCGACTTCAAGGACATGGCGAGACTATTTCTGCGCTGCATGTGCAGGAACAAGACGTTTCAGCGGACGTTCTGCTCCCAAAATGCGCAAAACGACCCTCCAGTGTTCCAACCGGGAAAAGTTCTCGTCCTCAGCAAAATGTCCCGTTTCGAATTTGAGAAACACAAGCAGCCTTACCTGTCTGAAGACGAGCTGAGGAGACGGGTAAGGAACCGGTTACCGTCTTAAGGAGGGTTTATTGAAGGAGTTAGGCTGGATTTAAGAAGTCTGCGACTTGGAATTGTAGATAGGGGGCGGGTCCGTTGATGGCTATACGTTACTTTGTTGACGCAGGCGACAGCAAATATTCGCACGTGTTCTGCGTTTGTTTGAATTGGGACCTGAAACCTACATGCAGGATTTTTAACGTCAGGAGAATTATAAGGAATTATATGTATTAACTGAATGCAAAAAGCAGCATGTCTTTGAAAGTTGTGTGTGTGTGTGTATCTGTCTGTGTGTGTGTGCGTGTGTGTGTATGTATGTATGTGCGTGTGTGTATGTGCGTGCATATGTATGTCTCTGAATGTATGTGCGTTTGTGTTTATGCATGTGTGTGTGTGATTGGAATATGATTGGAAGGAAAATAGTCACATATGGTTGCAAAGTAGTGTGGCCTAGGGGGTGAAGTCTGCCATCTCTGATTGTTGTCTGAGTTTTGCATGTCTCCATCCTTTCCAGTTAGCAGCCAGAGGTTCCAACTATGAAGGTCTGATGAGACGACACAAAATCCACACCAGGAACCTGGAGTCTGTCACAGAGGCACTCAGGTCAGAAATGGCTATTGACAAGCTGACAACAGGGAAAAAAATCTGATTCACAGGCAATGCAATCCATAGAACATATGTCTCAGTAGCTTAGTGGTTTATGCATTGGCATGGTAATGTTGAGGACTCAGTTCAATCCCAGTTATTTCTTATTTTGAACATTGTCAACTATGCAACAGTATAAATAGTTGAAACATTAATAGGTCGATAAAGGTTAGACATCCAGGTAACAAGATACATGAGAAAATTTTTTCAAGCAGCCGGATTGTAACTGTTTTCTTGTGAAACATTAGAATAACTTTGTAACTTTGAAACTTAACTTAAAAGTGTGGATGTTCTGTCCCTGTAGAAGCCATGGTGTGGAGGTGAAGGTTGTCCAGAAACACGAGTACACGCCGGAGAAGGTCAACTGGGCTGATGTCATCATGTCTGCTGGAGGTAAGGTCATGTGGTTGTCATGGTTACCTGTGTCAAGGTCATCATGTCTTCCAGTACCATTTTTCAGTTGATTTGTTACTGGTAGTATAAGTACATGTAGGATTACTGAATGTAGTACTGTAGTTGGATTTTCAGTGGTAAGTCTAAATCTCAACATTATCAAATGTGATGCCTTAATGTTAGTATCCAAATTAATAGTATTCAGCACAAATAAATTTCTTGTCTTTTGTACGTCTATGTTGTTGCTGCGTTTTTTTTCATCACTAACATCCTGGTCTTCCCCTTTATGCCAGGTGATGGTACGTTCCTCATGGCTGCCAGTCACATCCTGACCCGGAAGAAACCATTAATAGGGGTGAACACGGACCCGTCCCGGTCCGAGGGGTTCCTGTGTTTACCTAAGGAGTATTCTGGGAAGTTTTCTCAGGCTCTGGAAAGGCTGCTGGATGGGAAGTTCAGGTAAGACTGGTGTCACTCACTATCCAGTTTATCGTCTGTTGTTCCCTGTCTTCTGAGGGTTAGACATGCTTGCACAGCAATGCTAAGGCTTGATGGCAGCCCACCATTTTCCTCTATCCTGTGGATTGACGTTATGTAGGTTTAAGTGATGGAAGTCCTCCCCTACAATGTTAGGTTGTCAATCCATCTCTTCTGAGCGTGTATTACACAATCTCTCTGGTAGGGGCTGATTGGGCCTCCTCCCTGAAAGTTTGTGGCCATACACCTTCAACTTGAGAAAGCTGCCAATAGGAGCTCAATTTCCTTTATCACTATGAGAATCAGGCCAATAGTTTTGGGGTGTGTTCGTATAGTGGTATGTGTTCAGGTGTTGTTTATTTGTTTATTTATTTATTTGTTGTGCAGGTGGAGATGGAGGAACAGAATCCGCATCACCCTGGAGGGTTACAAGGTCAGCCTCATCGACCCTGTTGACCTGGATGACCTTGAACTGGGAGCTCACGATCACCTTGGACCTCACCGAGACTACAGGTGGGGAGGGGGGTCTTATTCCTACAACTAATTAAGAACAAAGTTTCTTCAGCTTTGATGAACTAATTTCCATCTATTATCTGTAGAAGGTTAGAGACCATGGTGGGCTATGTGTGGCAATTTAGGGAACCATAGTTTTTTAGGTCTGAGTTTCTTCTTCTTCTGTTTCAAACAAATAAGATCAGCAACTTGCAGGGGGGCTGCCATCATAGTTACTGTTGTGTTTTTCTCCCTGTAGCAAGGTGGTTTCTGTCTTGTACAAGTAATATCAATGTGTGTGATTAAGAACAGAGCATTGTCATATGCACAGAACCATTTAGTCTGTACCATTGAGTTTTTAACTCCATGTCTGTACTTACATAATTTTGGCTCTGCCATGTGAAGGTTAACATTCTTGTGTTTCCTTTCTTTTGAGAGTAGATACCAGAGTGAGTCTGATGATGAGAGGCTGCTCCATCCGTCAGAGCGATCGTTAGACGAGACAGAGACGACCGTCCTGCCCATCCGCGCGTTGAACGAGATCTTTGTCGGGGAGACCAGAGCTTCCAGGTACGAGGTTGTGTTACAGGTCATCTCAGAACATACAGTCAAACCTGTCTGTGGAACTTGAAGAAAATTGTCACACTATATACAGGTGGCCACACACAGAAAGCTAGGATTCTTAGTGCTTGTTTCAACAGGAAAAAGCCAGGGACAGATATACTTGGAGAACCATCTGCCGAGACACTACACTCCTAATGGGAGGATGCGGTCATGAGTGAGTGAGTGAGTGAGTGAGTGAGTGAGTGAGTGAGTGAGTGAGTGAGTGAGTGAGTGAGTGAGTGAGTGAGTGAGTGAGTGAGTGAGTGAGTGAGTGAGTGAGTGAGTGAGTGAGTGAGTGAGTGAGTGAGACCATCAAAAAGCGGTCATGATCACCTGGCAGAGGTTTTATTTCTGTGTTTTAGCAATGTAGGTTCTCAAAGAAAACATTCAATTTGATTTTGTACCCCTTACTCTGCTAGCATCACTGTTGGAGAATTTAGGACACTTTCAATAAAAGAAGTTATGACATAAGTATAATAGATAACGTACTATGTGGATCAGTAGTTGTGCTAACATTGTCCTACTGTTGTGTTGTTTCAGGACATCGTACTACGAGTTGTCTGTTGACGGACGTCGGTGGGAGAAACAGAAAAGTTCCGGCCTGACCGTGTGTACTGGGACAGGGTCATCATCATGGTGGGTGAAGATCAGGTTACTTTAGGCTTTACTAATTCAGTAACTTGGTTCTTATTTTTAACAAAGGAACACGTATGCTTAACTGGAGGTGCAAAATTTGATCCATACAGGAAAAAAATTGCAGCAGGATTGCATACTACTACTAGTACTTAGCCTTAGGTTAAAGCAAGCTTTTGGAATTTCTTGACTTCTGAACTCCAATTCAACTTCTGATCTTTTGACCAAGGAATGGCTTAAAAGCTTTGAGTTACAGGAAATGGTTTTGTTTTGACTCAACAAGTCTTAGTACTACAGAATGTTGTCTTCCTTTGTCTCCCCACACCAAATGTAATACTGTACTTCTGTCCACAGGTCCCTGCATATCAACCAGCTGACTTACCAGAGCACCAGAGAGATCCTCAGGATTGGTGAGTTTATAACAGGCTCAGCACAAACTGCATTGTACTTCACATAATACAAAGAGAATCCAGCAACATGATAGAATCTATGAAGAGTCAGGTGTTTCAACAGGCTCAGCACAAAATACTTCACCAGAGTAATACAAAGTAAATCCAGCTACTGGATTCTCAGCCACTATCAGTGACTGAGAATGTATAGTAAATTCATACAATGATTTTAGGGCACCAAAACAGAAAAAAATATTCTTGCTGATGAAATCTGTCTGATGTCATGTTTTTCTTCTCCTCCCAGTGAATGAAGAAACCAATTCTCGAGTGTCTGTAGATTCTGATGTCATCAATAGAGGTGAGAATCTACCAATCTACAATAGTTCTCTGTTAGAAATGGCTCTATCTTTTCTATGCTATATAATCAATTTATTTCATTTGTTTTAGAAAATAGATGTCTTTAAAAGTGAAATGTATCAAGCAGACATCACAAAAGCAGAAGGCAAGAAAGAAAATTTGAATGTGTTTTCATATTATGTTTCCAGTGAAGCATATTCAAAGTAAAATTTGAGAATAGACATTCAAACAGAATTGGTGTGGTTTTAGTGTATCATCTATACACAATGTGCTTTGTGGTGTATGTCTGTCTTGTTGATGTCTGTGTGTTGTGAAAGAAAGCTGTTGTGTATTTTTCCTAAATTATATGATTGTATTTGTCAAGGAGGGGATATGTATTATATGTCTAAGCAATGTATGTTTATTAGTACATATGTTAGTCTGTGCTAACTCAAAATTGTCATCAATAAATTTTTCTCTGGTTGCTTCCATGGATCAGAAGTTGCTGACAGAGGTAAGGGGTTGGTGCGAAAGTTGGGATTTTTTTTGTTTGCCGTAACATTCTTTTTTGACATCATGTCAGAGACATGTTTGTTTGTTTGTTTGTAAGTTCAAGTTTGTTTGGGCATGACTGTGTGGCTGATACAGTGTCTAACGTTCTCCTGCTATGTTTACCAGAAATTCCAGAGTGATGTTTTACAGTTTTGCGGACAATATTTCAAGTTTAACACATCAAAAATGTTCATCTGTTGGTCTGATATAAATTTTTCAACCATGTCATGTTGCCAAACTAATAATCAGGCTTTTAGCTAGGATTTTTTTGTTGGGCGTCCATTTTTTGCATTGTATGCTATGCTCAGCAAAGATGCACGGTGCACAAGCTTTTTAGGGGGCCTTTTTTGAAAGTCAAAATGCTCTCAAACACTACTTTTTGCATTTTGAGTTACAAATTTTGAGGAATTTGAGTTTTTTCCTTCAGTAAACCATCATTTTTGTATTTATAGTAAGGCTGAAGGGAGGCGTGTGTGCATGGCAGGGGTTGGGAGTGGAAAAAAACAGGGTGTCTTTAGGGTGTCCTACCAAAAAGTAGGGCGTCCAATTTCTTAGTATTTTCAGTACAGGGCGTCCAAAAGACACCCTGGACACCCCCTAGCTAAAAGCCTGCTAATAATAGATAAAAAGATATTTAAAGAATAGAGTGCAATTTTTTTTACTCATCTAGAGTCTTTTCTAGCAGTAAAAGTTTCTCTATGATATTGCCATACAGAGCCTTGGATCATTCATTTAATTTGGTACATTGTGAATCTAGTCTGTGACTTGCCTTGTTTTTTTAGGTAGCAGGTTTGTATTTCATAACAGGCTTTAGCTCAACATTGTGTCCCCCTTTTCTTACTCACTTTGCTTTTCCACCAGTGATGAGAAGATATAACAACTCCCTGATGTTTGATGCGAGCGAGCCTAAGATGACCTACACAGTCCGAGATCCCATCATTAATGGAGTCTTCTCTGTCAAGAACCCCAGAGGGTTTGCTAAAAGGTTTGTGGACTTGTTGATGCTTAACCCTTGGGAAAGGCACTTAATACCTATTTACTCACATGATTCTGAAAATGAGCACCTAGCTTTGGTTAGGATGTAAAGCTGGAGGGCCTGTGTTTGAAGAGAGCCACACCTCAAGCACATTAATGAATCCACCACACTTATCTAGAAGAGTAGGGGTCCATCCCAGCATGGAGGTAGAAAAAGAGATTTTCTACCTCCATGATCCGAGTTTGAGTGGTTTGAACCTTACAGTCTGGTTGACATGTTCCAAAAGGTGATAGTCTGTCCTTTCACGATATGTGGCAAATATCTATAGATAGATAATAAGTACATACATGGTGTCTCCTGTACTTCTCTACATATACAAGCTGTATTTTTTGGGTTCTTTCAGGATTGCGATTCGCTCCCGCTGCTGGGACGCCTGTCTGGCAGTGGACGGCGGATTTTCCTTCCAGTTTAACGATGGAGCAATGGCGTATCTCGAAATCCTACCAGAGGACGCGCTACGAACCGTGGTCCTGGACTGAACCGTTCTGAATGTCACATAATCTCACAAAGGCTTCTCCAGTTTAACTAGTCTTGACATTTGAGTGCACATGCAATGTGCCCTTCGTACTGTGCTCATGGGCTGAACGTGACGAAAACTTGCAAAGGCTTCTCAGATTTCACTGCTCTTGACATTTGAGGGCCTTGTTAAATGATGGGACTAGAAGAACAGTTGACTTAATGGTGGAGAGTTCTTGTGGACTGGACATGGACACATTGTGAACTGTGTTCTTGGACTGAACGTCACATAAACTTTGGAAGGCTTCTGCAGTTTTACTAGTACAATGTATTGACATTTGAGTGTCATGTGTAATGATGATGGTACTAGAAATTGTGTAAACCAGATATACATGCAGGATGGATCAGACATAGACATATGCCAAAAATTGGATTGAAACATTTATGTGGAAAGCATAGATTTTTCTTGTGTTGTGATGATGTGAAAGTGTCTTTTGAGTCAATTTTGCTGACAGAAAGTTTGTCATCTGCTGGTGAATACCTGTGGTTTGATTACTCTCCAAGCAGAGGTTTGGGTTTTGGCTTACTTTTGGCATGATTTTAGGCTTTTTTATCAGGCTTTCTTTTTTGCACTGGTATCTTTTTTTTACATAACTAGTGCAAAAAAGAAAGCCTGATAAAAAAGCCTAAAAACACACCAAAAAAAAAGCCAAAACCCAAACCTCTGCTTGGAGACTATAGTTTAATAAGGCTGGTAGGTCTGTTGATATCAACATGCTAACTAAAAGGCTTCTCCAAATCCACTGCTTTTAAAACAGTGAAGTGTTATGTTCAAGTGTGAAATTATAATTTTGATACCTCAGTATTGTACATGCAAAAAATGTTATTATTATTATCATTTGTGTGATGCTGCTGATGTTATGCAGAGATATAAGCCCAACATAAAGGTTCACATTAATTTCAGTCAATTGTATATGTGACATTGGTACTTGTGACAATTGCACTGTATTATGTATGTGGATTTAAACCTCCTTGGTTAAAGAAAATACAACTGTTACATTTTGTCTGGTCTAAATCATTTATACATGTCAAGCTAGATAAAAATTTTTGCCTATCATAGATGTATGTTCAGCATATGGGATAACTACTTAACTAATCTAAAAGCTACTATAGTTTGTTTATAGCCTAAATACTAGATGGTCCACACATGCAACATACTACTACAGTGTAGTGTCTCCTTCGATTCATTGCTATATTACATTGACACAGACAACAAAAGTATTTCTTGTTCAAAGGGGCCTTAAAGTACCGGCCTGTAGTACCTTAGTCGTTCACTGGGCGGTGCTTCTAATCCACCTGTTGCCACGTCCTTAAAAAGTCGACCTGAATGTTACTCTCCAAGCAGAGGTTGTGGGGGAATGGTCGTTAGCTTTTTATATATGGCCGTTTTTTGTCGCTACCCCCACCAACTCTCCAAGCAGATCCTGGGGTGGCCAAAGACAGTATCAAATTCGCTAGGCAGTATCCATTCGCCAGATACCAGCTTTGGGTGGTGTATTGGACCCTCTCTGGTTAATGGATACTGCCTGACCAACATTACTTTTATACTGTCTTTGGCCACCCTAGGATCTGCTTGGAGATAATGTGCAGCTTGATTGTGACGGTGGCGGTGACTGTAGTACCTTACTCCGTCACTGGGAGGCGCTTCCATACAGTCGACTGCAGGCATTTGTGATGACGGCTGGAAACTGATGATTTATATGGAAATATCTAGAAGTATGGATTTTACCATATGAATTTAGAACTAACTTGCATTCTAGCATCATTGCTGTCAATTTTCTATTATTATCACCTTTTACATTTATAGAAGAAAGTACTTTTGATGCAGGATGGGCGAAATTTGTGTGTACAAAATACACTATCGTACTAGAGAGGTGACACTAAGTCTTATACTCAAGCGCGCGAGTTTTCGGAGCTTCCCAATCCTGCTTCTTACCATAAACAAAACTACTCGCCAACGGATGTGCGTTTTACAGGCAAACATTTTATAACTTTACACACGCCCCCCTCCCTCCCCCGTTGTTCTCAGCCTTGCTGGCTATGTTCACCTGGTGTTTTCTGTTCTCACGGATACATAGGTGATCGGCTAGGCGTGGCGAAATTGCTGAGGACGGGCTCGCCTTATGACTAGTCCTAGGAGGGCAGGCCTGTCTGTTGATAGCAAAGACGCCTGGCGTTGGTTGGGAGCGCAAGATCAAGAAATTCAAGTGTCTGTCCTTCTTTTTAATTTATTTCATGTTGTGTGTGTCTGTCTATCTATCTAACCGCGTGACGCAGCAGCTTCGCGGGCACGCGGCGCGGCGGCACACACACACTAACATACTAACCTAGTTACTAACCTGGGGAGCGAGTAGCAAACCTTCACGTGGTGCTCCCTGTTAATCCCTCACGGGAGACCGATTGCTACAATAACTGCAACATTTGATGAAATGAAACAAAGAGCAAGTACATACATGGTGGCGGTGCCGCACGGAAGTTTGAAAACTTATGCGACATTTACTGCCATTTCTTAGCACACTCTCGCCACTATTTCATATTTGGTGCGCTTAGAGCCAAAAATAGGGTATGTGAGGCGTCGACAATGATATTTTTGTTAACTGTGGATTTGATGCACGTATAAAAGACTATATTTCTGGTATGGAAGAGATGAAGCAATGTCTAAATAAATAATTTGAAAGATTACAACTTGGTCATTTTCGTTGTGTAAAGGAGGCATGTGCAGAAATGGCACAATTTTCAGGATTGGTGCTTTCGGGAACAGTGATATGGCAGACATATCGTTAGTGACTCAAGAGCTAGGGATTGTTGAACTTGTCCCTTTGCCTGTTGTAAAAATGCCTAGTTTCAGGTGTAATCTTCACAGAGTTTAAATCATCATATATCAATGATCCAGAAGAAAGATTTTGAATAATGTCCCAACTCGTCCAACTCCGCTTAATTCTTGAGTTATACGTAAAAATGTGTTTTTACGATCAGCTGATCGCTTGCAGAACTGGTCAAGGCCTTTGCAGAAGTGGACTTTTCGTTGTCGAAGACATTACCATATGAATGAAAACCAAGCAGACGTTAGGAGGGAAGATCGTAACTTTTGCTCACATGGTTTATCATATGATCTATAAACAGCGCTTCCCGTGTTAGATGTTCAGGGCAAAGGCGTGACAGGTCGTACAATAATGATAGAAATACAAAGTAACACATGGATAGATAACTGTCTACTAGTAGTTTGGGGCTCCTGTTGCTGAAATACTAATGTTGGACATCGTTTTCTTGCTTGGTTTGATAAACAAGGCTACACGATCAGACCACAAACAAAAGTTACAGAGAGCTACTCCGGACCCCTTGGCATGACAACGTGTGGTCATGTTGCTCTATTGAACAACAGCGTCCCTCTTTTGGGATAAGATGGCCAACCCAAGTGGGTTGTCATGTACGAGCCTTGGACGGCTGAGCTGAGCTGTCCTATGGCTTAGGAGTCCACTACCTCTCTGTCTGGGAAGTTAGTGGCTCAAAAACTAGGGCCCTCCGCGGTGCCCTTAAGGCCGGTCTGGCCGCACCAGACTGTGCCGCATGACGCCACGTAACACAATGTCGCAATATGTAATACTTATAACAAAAATCAAGAAAAATCTTCATTTATACGTTCATTTTACCCCACAATTTCCCTGATCCCTCTAGCCCTCCCCTCAATACCGTGTTTAATATTGTTGGCGCCTTTACATCCCCAAACCCACCTACACCCCAGCAAATTCTTACACTACTTCCACAGGAGATATCTTTCGTTCGTGGGACTTAAGTTGGATAGATTATGTTCATATACACCTGTGCCACAGGTGAGTGTAATTAACCTGAATATATTAAATGTTGGGCTAGTACACAAACAAGATCAGAGGGACAGATTATGGAAAAGTATTCTTTTATTTTTATAGTTTTATACGTTACAAGAAGAGGGTAATGCATCTACGGAATCTATTCTTGTTTTCATTCTAACTACTGTCACAAATTTGTCAAAAAGGAACAATAACATGGCAAAAAGGAACAATAATTGAAGTAAATGCTAGATCTGTACGTACATGAGGTTCCCATGTTTGCTGTATGCAAATCAGTGGTACATGACAGGGTTTCGACAGTATTACAAGGATTACAGCAAGATAACAAGTATATTTACTTTGTAACATACTGAATTTAAAGAGCCAAATTATACACAATTTTTAAAAATTTGTTGTATGTGAGACTTCCTTTAGTTTACACATATGGCCCAATTACTCACAGCAAATTATACATAACATCTCTCTACTATAAAGTCCACATCCTTTACGTTACGCCACTTCCACAGCCACATCTTTCACTTGTGGGTCAGACGCCAAAATGGCCATTTGGGTAAATTATGTTGATGTTAATCTGCAACACAGGTGATCGTTATTTACTTTGTAACATACAGTCAAATGTTTGGTCGTGCTGGAAGTTCGACTTATCATGTACCCACAATCCCTACATGTGTGGAGGTTTTCAACGGTCTGTTTTGCTAAAAGGACGTTCAAAGAGAATTTGTCTGCAGAACAGAAAAATCACATTCGGTCACGCTTTAGGAGCTTTCACCTGTATGAGTTCTCAGATGCTTGGCTAAGTGAGAAGTCCAAGCTGTCCTGAAGTCACACTTATAGCACTTGTAGGGTTTCTCACCTGTGTGCTTTACTAGATGTTCCTTCAACTGCCTTTTCCGTACAGTAGAATAGTCACACTCCTCACACATGTAGGGTTTTGCACCCGTGTGCTTTACTAGATGGTCTTTCAAAAGGCTTTTCCGTACAGTAGAATAGTCACACTGGTCACACTTGTAGGGTTTGTCTGCTGTATGGGTTCCAATATGTTGGGATAAGTTAGACTTATTAGTTGTCTTGTATCCACACTCCCCACACATGTAGGGTTTCTCACCGGTGTGTTCTGCTAGATGTTGGTCCAAAGTGCGTTTCTGTTTTGCAGAATAATCACACTGGTCACACTTGTAGGGTTTTTCTCCTGTATGGGTTCTCATGTGTTGGGAAAAGACAGACTTTTTAGCTGCCCTGTATCCACACTTTTCACACATGTAACACTTCTCACCAGTGTGAGTTTTCTTATGATCAGATAAGGTTTCCTTCCGATTAGTCCTGTACCCACACTCCTCACACATGTAGAGTTTCTCACCAGAATGTGTGGCTAGATGGTTGTCTAAATTATTTTTCTGTGCTGCAGAATAGTCACAATGGTCACATTTGTAGGGTTTTTCACCTGTATGGGTTCTCATATGTTGGGATAAGTGTGATTTGTAGGTTGTCCTATACCCACATTCCTCACACATGTAGGGTTTGTTGCCAGTGTGTTTTGCTTGATGGTGATGGTTCAATGAAGATTTCAATGCAGCAGAATAGTCACACAGGTTGCACTTGTAGGGTTTCAAACCCGTATGAGTTCTCATGTGCAGGGACAAGTGAGCCTTTTGAGCTGTCCTGTACCCACATTCCCCACACATGTAGGGTTTCTCACCAGTGTGTTTGGCTAGGTGGTACTTCAAATGTCTTTTCTGTGCTGCAGAATAATCACACTGGTCACACTTGTAGGGCTTCTCATCAGCGTGTTTGGCTAGATGGTGAGAGTCTAATGTAGATTTAGTTGCAGCAGAATAATCACACTGGTCACACTTGTAGGGTCTTTCACTGGTATGAGTTTTTATATGTTTGGATAAATTAGACTTCCAACTTGTCCTGAATCCACACTCCCCACACATGTAGGGTTTCTCATCCATATGTGTTTCTGACTGATTGTCCAAACTTTTAGTAGGCTGGTCTTCGACATTGCTGACATCCATGTCCAATAAAACTTCGGCAGGAGACCCACGATAGGATTCCTGGGAAACTGCAGGAGGAGACCCGTTACCTGTCTCCGCCATTTCTAACCTGAAGGACAAAATATTTGAAAAGTTAGAACATGTCAATAAAAAAATATATAAGAACAAAATAAAAGAATATATGTAAAGGAACATTTTCTTCTGTTGACACAAAAGACATGAGGAAAAAAGACTGCCCAGTTTTACCTCCACCGTAATGATACTAACATATCAAAATCTGTCTGACTCCTTCCTTACCACTCCCTCCCCCTTTCATAGTACTTTGTACTACTCGTTTTTCCGACGTTGGCCACACATAAATTTCATAATCTGGTTCCCCGCTTTTCTGTTGTAGTTTATCTGAGATCCCATAACATGCAGTATCCTTCATAACGTTTTGCGAGTAACCTTTTTATTCTTCATAATTTCCATCAGAAACGACCCCTTTGTTTTGTCTTCGTTTTGCCCCCTTCCTCTCCTTGTTTTCTCACCCCGAAAAATCTTACATAATTTCCTCCTAATGTGGTTCATGTACGCCTAGAATACGCAAAGAAATGACTTATATCTCCTAGACTTCATGATAAGGCAGTAATTTCCCGCTTAATTGCGTTTCTTACCTGGTTTCACTGCTGATTTTTACCTCGCAAAAATTACGCCTTCTTCGTAGCAGCTTGGGGTGAAAGGTCAGCCTCCAGCCCGGTTAAAGGTCATTTTCTGTGCCTGGTTACCCACTTAGTGTGTAATAAGTTTGCCTACATTGGACTTTGTTTGCCAAAATGGACTTCCTTGGAAGCCCCCTGCTTAAAACAGGATAGATTGGCGAATTTAGACATTCTTCATCAAAAAGTATCACTCTAAAACTTGGTAACGTTACATGAGTCCATTGACGTCCATTGAATTGTCACATTTGCATGTGGAATAGTCCATTCTTGCTTCTGATTCAGGGGTTCAAACTTAAACATCTGATTACTAGATATGTACATCATTTGAATGATCCACTGTGTTCTCTTGCCCACACTATCTACTAGTATTGTTGTTATTACATATTAAACATGTCAGTCAGTGAAACTAAATTCAACATCACACAAACCTCTTTTACAATTTTTCATAATGATTAACACTGGTTCAGCATAACTACTGTTAGTGTTATACCAATATATATATACATGTATATTGTATAGGTTAGTAAATAGGTGAGCAAATAAACATCACAGCATTTGACTTGATGTACAGCCGTTACACTGAAGTGCAAATGTTTTGTAGGATATCATGTTACATTTGCATGTGGAATAGTCCATTCTTGCTTCTGATTCAGGGGTTCAGATTTTTTGTCCCCCAAACTGATAACAATAAAGTAAAAGTAATAACTATGAATAGACTCATACAACACAAGGAAAATGGAACGAAACCTTGGCTTATAATTATCTTTCTCATTTTAATAAACTTAAAGTTAAACATCTGATTACTAGGTATGGGCATCATTTAAATGGTCCACTGTGTTCTCTTGCCTACACTATCTATTGTTGTTATTACATATTCGGTCAGTAAAACTAAATACAAATTGTCCAAACCTAGTGATGGACAGGTGTAGTTGTCTCCGCATCCCTCGTTGTCAGGCAGACAGAATACTTCAGGTGATTGAGCCTGTCCACCCCCGTGTAGACTCTAGTTGGTATCGCCCAAAGTTGAAGGGTCACCCTCCCTGCGCATGCGCACCAGTCTAAAGTTTTTCAGCTCCACCTGGCCGAAGCCCTCTCGGGATGGGTCGTGCCGGAACTTGTGGAGAACTGCACCAGTCAGGGAGGGTGTCTGCCTGACAACGAGGGATGCGGAGACAACTACACCTGTCCATCACTAGGTTTGGACAATTTGTATTTGCCTACCGCATTCCCTCTTATGTCAGGCAGACAGAATACTTCAGGTGAGATTTGTAGCTGCTGAGGCCAGGACGTTTCTTCCGAATGAAGCTGACCCCACCGGTCTGTTGTAGAATTTCTTAAAAGTAGAAGCTGTAGACCAATTAGCTGCTGCTAGAATGTCCTTGGTTGATACGCCTTGTCGTGCCGCAGCAGAAACAGACGCCCCTCTAGTTGAGTGTCCGGTGAACCTTGAGGTGTCGATCCCGGCCTCTTGTAACACAGTTCTTAGCCATCTAGCGATGGTAGACGTAGATACCGCCTGGTGTGGCTCC